TTTCGTCGCTGTTTGGAGCTCACGGCTAGTGATCGATGTAGTTCTTTAGCTTTTTGTGTGATTTAACTCATGCTTTGGTGACATATACATATGTTCTTCTAGATCATTCTATTGAAAACACATTGGTACAAAAATGAAATCTGTACATCGAAAATTAAGGTCAGGACAGCGAAAAGAGTATGCACTTTTCAGTGTTGCCGCTCGATCACTCGAAAACGTCCAATACACCTCGCGAAAGTCAAAGTCCAGTGTGTGGAGAGCATGAAAGTGATAATTATTAAATTAATTAATTGCTGCTCTACAGCATTTTTTTGTTTTTGTTTTAACGCCAGTTTTGTTGAAGCGTCAATAAAATAAATAAATGTTTAATATTATCGACCATTTACTTAATATTTCTGTGAGTGGTTGTCGTAGGGACCCCAGCACTCTGGTTTGCCTAGGGGTCATAATGTCTTACCATTCAAGTTCAAGTTCAAGTATGTTTATTGAGACAAGAAAAAATACATCTCAAAGGGATAGAGTAGCTTAGGCTATTTCTACCCCCCTCTACTTCAAGTCCCTCAAGGGGCGCACAAATTCAGTGAGTACAGATACACAAATCACAATACAACATTTAACATTGCAGATGAATATAGTAAGTGTTACAATCATTGGGGCAAAATTCTTGTAGTTCCTAAGTATTCTCTATCATATCATTATCACACATCCAAACAATTTGAAGTGGTACACTACTTATTTCCTTATTTCTATGGTTATCCATAAATTGACACTTTAATACATAATGTTCTTCCAAGTTCAAGTAGGTTTATTGAGACAAGTTAAAAAAAAAAAAACTCAGAGTAGCTTAGGCTATTTCTACTCCCTCCCCATACTTCAAGTCCCTCAAGGGGCGCACAAATTCAGTGAGTACAAATACAAGAATCCCATTTAACATATCAGGTTAATATAGTACTATCTAGGAGTATAATAGTGTACATCCACCGCACTAGATTTTAACCCATTAACGCTCCAAGATAATATTTTCACTCTACTTTCATCCATGATTTAATAAAATTACCTTTGCCCTGTCTGTCACATTCCATGAAATACGAGATTTTCTCAGACAGACTCTCCCAACACTGTAACATTTTTGCTTTCTCCTCACTTGCACAACAGCTACTAACATCAAAGGTGATCTTATTCATATCTAATTTCTTTTTTATTTCTCTATACCGTTTTACTTTAACCTTTGTTTCAACATTTGTCACTACAGAAGGTTGAACGCTAACACTACTAGAAAGTTCATTTTCCTGACTATCCTCTATCATCAATACGTCATGTTCTTCCTTACTTTCTTCAACGCACATTTCACTTTCCATTTCACGTCCTGTTTCACTTTCCACTTCACGACCTATTTCACTTTCCATTTCACGTCCTGTTTCACTTTCCATTTCACGTCCTGTTTCACTTTCCATTTCACGTCCTGTTTCACTTTCCATTTCACGTCCTGTTTCACTTTCCATTTCACGTCCTGTTTCACTTTCCACTTCACGTCATATTTCACTTACTATTTCACGTCCTGTTTGACTTTCCATTTCACGTCCTGTTTCACCACCATCTTCACCCCGTCTACCCTCCATAGCTAATTTTTCTAATGCCTCAATCCTCTTGTCTAGTTTTTTTTTTAGATATTCCAATATTTGAGTACCAACCTCAGAGTTCACTATATTGTCCTGAACCTTGTTTCCACAAGGTTTAATTTTTTCAGCTGCATTTCCTACTTTCCCTAGGCTCGCCTTAAGTGTCTCCGTTCCTTTCTCCCACACATTGTTCATAGGCGCTGTCATTGGCTTCCAGCTGTTTCCTCCATGTTCCTGCTGCACAATCTTTCCTTCCTTCGGGGATACATCTATCCTGCTTGTAGCACCCGTCCTAGAGTCTCTCAGATGAGGCTTCATGCGACATAGATAGGAACCAGCATTGTGGCTGCCTCGACAATTGCAACAAGATGGGACGATTTTTTCACCGTTTTTAACCTTGACTCTACACTCTCGAGAGTCGTGTTTCTTACCACAGTACCGACACCTGGAGTCAAACTGGCATTTCCAAGCCATATGTTCCCAACGAGAACACTTCATGCATAGTATGGGCTCCTCAATGTATTTTACAACTTTCCTGTAGCCTAGTCCTTGCACAAAAATTCTTTCTGGAGCCTCACCCTTTACCAAGGCAACAATCTGGCTTTGATTTTCACCACGAACACTGTTCCTCTTTGCCCAAACAACACTATCATTGTTGAGCAATAGATAATCAGGATCCAAATAAGTTGGATACTTAAACACTATGACCTTGGTGTGTATCATACCTTCTTCCGGAATAACCATCACAATATTCTCAAACCCATCCTTCGTTAGGTGTTCCACGGCCTCTTCTGTCCCAACTGTTATGTAGGGCCGGTGAAGACCCTCCTTGAATAGTGGTTCATATTCAAAAAACTCCTTAGCCAAACGAACCGTCCACTCCAGCTTTTGATGAAAATTCAGTTGACACGCTGTAGGGAACAACAGCCTCTTCCTTCCATTAGTCTGCATCTCCCGCGTCCCGCCGAGCATGTCCTCACTTTTTGGTCTCTGTTATTTCCTCCTCACTGTCTTCGTCTCGCTGTCTTTGAATATTTCGACGTTTATATCTGTTCACTACTGCTTGATACGGCCTAGTATCATCCTGTCTGCCATCCCCACTGTCACACTCTCCAGGCCCAGTGCAGGATCTTCCATCACCTAGGCAGACCGCTTCAGCCATTTCCTCGATACACAAAGGCACTGTATCACTGCAACAGTCGAGAACAAATTCACAACATCCAGCTGCAGCAGCCGCGTGCAAACACTAAGATGCGGAGCAACACGTCCTCCTCCCATCATGCAGCAGACCGCACTGATGTCTTACCATAATGCTGGTAAGACGGCACTGTTTAACTTAAGTGTAAAGTAATGGAATTCGGTGAAGGGAGAACGAGGCTGAACACAAGGTACCATCTGGGAAGAGAAATCCTTTAAGAGTCAAGTAGAGAGAATGATCTGAGGGTTGATATCGCACCGAACCTGTCCTAGTTAAACAAAAGTCAAAATTAGAGAAGATTCAGAGGTATGCCACCAGACAAGTCCCAGAGCTGAGAGGCATGAGTTACGAACAAAGACTACGGGAATTAATCCTCACGTCCCTTTTTTTTTTTTTTAGTTTAGTTCATTTATTATGCACCCCATACCCATCTTGTGGGTGGTAGTGGAAAGGGTTACAGAGGCACATAATGGGCTCAGGGACTGAACCCCACAATTCATTTAGCTAAGCAAGTTACAATCTTGATGAGCTAGTTACAAAATTCAGTATAAGTCGTCACATCAACAATGGGTTCGAGATCGACCACAAGTACAGTTTCTAAATTAAGCAACTGACATATGTGGAGAGCTAGTGTCACAATTGATATGTTTGTCCTGCACACCGCCCCCCATCCCGTGGGCAGCGGTGGATATGTTACAATCACTTAGTTACTACCTACAGTTAGCAAACTGGGGATATTTGACTAAAATTTCTGGTAGCAGATAATATTGACACATCGTTGGTACATTGGTTATAGAATTGTCTCTAAATTCACGTATCTTTTCGCACTCCATCACATAGTGACGGAGGGTGTGCGAATAATTTTGTTGACACAGTTTACATTTGGTCAGGTCTACATCAGCAGATAATGAGAATTCCCAGAGATACTTGTAACCGAGTCTAAGCCGAGCAGTAGTAACATCTAGAAGTCTGCTGATTTTATTGGATGATCCATAGATGTGTGGCTCCTCTTGCATGATAGTATGATGATAGATGGAATTACTGGTGTCGATTTCACTTTGCCTCAGATCTACAAGATCTTGTTGAAGTCCTCGGTGTAATGCTGCTCTCAGATTGCTCATTGACAATCCAAGGTTACACTCAACGGCTCCTTTAAAGGCAGATTCTTTGGCTAACTTATCAGCTCTATCATGCATTCGGAGGCCAACATGAGATGGAGTCCCTTTCTCACGTTACACGTTGTTATACGTCCCTGGAAAACGTGAAAATACCGAAATGAGTCACAAAACATTAGAAAGATTTTTTTTTCTTTCTAACCATTGCTTTGGGCAGTGATGTGGTGAAGGCAGACTCCATACACAGTTTCAAATGTAGATATTATAGAGCCCAATAGGCTCAGGAATCTGTGCACCAGTTGATTGATAGTTGAGAGGCGGGACTAAAGAGCCGAAGCTCAACGCCGGCGAACACAACTAGGTGAGTCCATGCAACGGGTTACAAACAGCCTACTCTCAGCTGGTGTTTCTCATCTACCTACTAATACTTTGATCATATATATATATGATGACCAAACCACAGATCATATTATATATAATTTTAAATTAGTCGGAGGAATAGAAGCCCTAAACAAAAAAAATAATCAACACGGGGCATGCCATGAAACATGTTTGTCCATAGGGATAGTCTATCGTTTCGTATGAATTTTGAAAAAAAAAACAGGAACAATGGGTTGTATTAATACAAGTCTTGGAAATTTGTGCATTCTAGCAAAGCTTCTTAACACACTATGACGTGTAGCGTCTCTGGCAACAATATAAACTGAAACATGTTAATACAATTGTGATTTCTGTGTGTAACTGTTAATGCAATATTTGTTAGCACTTTGAAGCCATTGGTCACGGGGCGTAGAGTTCTCAAGGGATTAAATCTTATAGGTTTGCATAAGGGTTAAGGGGGGGGAGGGTTAATAAGGGAATAGCCACAGGGAGTTGGGTAAATTTTCAATTAATGTGTCAGATCAGATGATTGACAACATTGAATATAATGTTTTGTTACATGAACGTGGCCAGTCAGCTTACAATGGTAATAAACATATATTTATATATTCGTGTGTCGTCCATGGACAGGTTGTAGCAGTTTACTGAGGACTGAACTACTGTGTGTGAAGGGAGGGAGGGGGGGGGGGGGGGGTGCCGGCGCTGGTGACGGATGGTTCAGTCGGCCGGCGGCCGTGTGAGAGGACGGACGCTCGTGGCTCTCAGCACCTCCTCGCTCCCTCACTCTGCCAACCAATTGCCACATTTTAGTTACGTTAGTATTTGGTGCGGTGACGAGTGCATTTTGAAATTAAGTGATGGACAACCTGAAATTCCTCTGACTTTATTTTTTACGAATGCTGGAACTCTTTAGATGTCTTAACAGATTTTGTTAATTTTGGAATCGGTAGAAGAGTCACTTTAAGTGAAATTTTATTTAAACCTGTTGGCGGCACAAATAAAATACTCCAGCAATGATAGTAAATGAAGGACTCTTTTTTTTAAGCTAGAGGGATAGTGTAGAGTTGTGCGGCGGGCTGTGAGAAGACTGACACTGGTGCAGCCCCTGGCTGTTACTTCACCACAACTGAAATGTGGAGTGTACACTTGCTTGAGGTGGTGGTGCTCCTCCTCCTCGTGCACCTTCGTCAAGGTAAGTACAACACACTCCGTATGTTACATGTGCTTGACGCAAGAGCCAGAGTGCTCTGGCGAGGTAAGGCGCGGGCACCGCTGGAGGCATTAACTCCGTGGCACTCTCCAGCGGGTATTGTCAGCGGGGGGGGGGGGGGGGGTTCTGGTGTGGCACCTTCCATGACATGCTCGTATGGCACACCTGCTGCCTTGACATGCTCGTCTGGCACACCTGCTGTATATGGCCACCCGTGTAGTGAACGGTGAATATTGCCTGTATACAAGAGTAAGATCAGACAATTCCTCTCTTAAGACACCTAGGGACATGGCTAAGCCTAATGAAGCTTCCTCTGAACCATTGTTTGTAGATCTTCATACCAGCATCCCAAGTGAATCGTGAGTGTTGGTTTGGTTCGAAAGAGTAGTCACTAGGTGCATGTACTAGGCAAGTATACGTTTGTCACGCAAGGGGGGGGGGGTGCTGCAAGTTTATCTCTGACCGGCAAGGCGACCACAAATTTTAGCCATAGAGATGTCACCTGCTGGTACTCTTCCAGAAGCCTTATACTTGTTAGGGTGCTCGGATGTCACTGAAATATCACGGCCTAAGTAAGTGACATGTGTAAGACATTGTGGACCAGTGCTCTTGCCCCATCAGCACGAGCCTCTTTCCCCCAACATTCTTCATTGAGTGGAGGTATTGGTGTAAGTACTGTACTAGCTGTTTACCACTCTAAGTCACACCGCAGCTACTGTTACTGTGTAACGCCAGGCTAAAAATGTTTACCTGATTGACCTGTCACACGTAGGGTGACACACGGCTGGGGTCCCGCCCCTGGTCATGTAGGGTGACACACGGCTGGGGTCCCACCCTGGTCATGTAGGGTGACACACGGCTGGGGTCCCTCCCTGGTCATGTAGGGTGACACACGGCTGGGGTCCCTCCCCCTGGTCATGTAGGGTGACACACGGCTGGGGTCCCTCCCTGGTCATGTAGGGTGACACACGGCTGGGGTCCCTCCCTGGTCATGTAGGGTGACACACGGCTGGGGTCCCGCCCTGGTCATGTAGGGTGACACACGGCTGGGGTCCCGCCCCCTGGTCATGTAGGGTGACACACGGCTGGGGTCCCGCCCTGGTCATGTAGGGTGACACACGGCTGGGGTCCCGCCCCTGGTCATGTAGGGTGACACACGGCTGGGGTCCCGCCCCTGGTCATGTAGGGTGACACACGGCTGGGGTCCCGCCCCTGGTCATGTAGGGTGACACACGGCTGGGGTCCCGCCCCTGGTCATGTAGGGTGACACACGGCTGGGGTCCCGCCCCTGGTCATGTAGGGTGACACACGGCTGGGGTCCCGCCCCCTGGTCATGTAGGGTGACACACGGCTGGGGTCCCGCCCCCTGGTCATGTAGGGTGACACACGGCTGGGGTCCCGCCCCCTGGTCGTGTAGGGTGACACACGGCTGGGGTCCCGCCCCCTGGTCATGTAGGGTGACACACGGCTGGGGTCCCGCCCCCTGGTCGTGTAGGGTGACACACGGCTGGGGTCCCGCCCCCTGGTCATGTAGGGTGACACACGGCTGGGGTCCCGCCCCCTGGTCATGTAGGGTGACACACGGCTGGGGTCCCGCCCCCTGGTCATGTAGGGTGACACACGGCTGGGGTCCCGCCCCTGGTCATGTAGGGTGACACACGGCTGGGGTCCCGCCCCTGGTCATGTAGGGTGACACACGGCTGGGGTCCCTCCCTGGTCATGTAGGGTGACACACGGCTGGGGTCCCTCCCTGGTCATGTAGGGTGACACACGGCTGGGGTCCCTCCCTGGTCATGTAGGGTGACACACGGCTGGGGTCCCGCCCCCTGGTCATGTAGGGTGACACACGGCTGGGGTCCCACCCCTGGTCATGTAGGGTGACACACGGCTGGGGTCCCGCCCCCTGGTCATGTAGGGTGACACACACGGCTGGGGTCCCGCCCCCTGGTCATGTAGGGTGACACACACGGCTGGGGTCCCCCCCTGGTCATGTAGGGTGACACACACGGCTGGGGTCCCTCCCTGGTCATGTAGGGTGACACATGGCTGGGGTCCCGCCCCTGGTCATGTAGGGTGACACACACGGCTGGGGTCCCGCCCCTGGTCATGTAGGGTGACACACACGGCTGGGGTCCCGCCCCTGGTCATGTAGGGTGACACACACGGCTGGGGTCCCGTCCCTGGTCATGTAGGGTGACACATGGCTGGGGTCCCGCCCCTGGTCATGTAGGGTGACACACACGGCTGGGGTCCCACCCTGGTCATGTAGGGTGACACACACGGCTGGGGTCCCGCCCCTGGTCATGTAGGGTGACACATGGCTGGGGTCCCGCCCCTGGTCATGTAGGGTGACACACACGGCTGGGGTCCCTCCCTGGTCATGTAGGGTGACACACGGCTGGGGTCCCACCCCTGGTCATGTAGGGTGACACACGGCTGGGGTCCCGCCCCTGGTCATGTAGGGTGACACACACGGCTGGGGTCCCTCCTTGGTCATGTAGGGTGACACACACGGCTGGGGTCCCACCCTGGTCATGTAGGGTGACACACACGGCTGGGGTCCCACCCCTGGTCATGTAGGGTGACACACACGGCTGGGGTCCCACCCTGGTCATGTAGGGTGACACACACGGCTGGGGTCCCGCCCCTGGTCATGTAGGGTGACACACACGGCTGGGGTCCCACCCTGGTCATGTAGGGTGACACACGGCTGGGGTCCCTCCCTGGTCATGTAGGGTGACACACGGCTGGGGTCCCTCCCTGGTCATGTAGGGTGACACACGGCTGGGGTCCCTCCCTGGCCGTACAGTGGGGTCGTGGACCTCTCGGTGAGTGACTGTCATAATTATTATTAACATCTTTATTGACAAAATTAATTACAATTTTGCCTAATCTGAGGATTTTGATAGTCTTATTAAAGTGAGGATAATGCTGGTATTCACTGTCACGCAGGACAGAGGGTCATACATAAGACAATAGGTCTAAACTGTAGGCGGAAGCCCATATATATCATGGTTACAATCAATGTTTTGATGTATGAATATGTGAAAACAACTTTCTATTGTGCACTGCCACACAAGGGCAGGGATGGGTTCATAACTGATGCAGCTTAGAAGTAATATAAATAAAAGTTGTTCTTCATTCTTTAAAATGGACCAGCAAATTTTGGATAAATTGTTAGGATGTCGTCCAGAACACCTGAGTCAATAAAATAGTTACACAGTTGGTGGTACAAGAGGCCAGGAGGTCTAAAGTCCTTTACGGTTTCACATTCATCAATATAGTGTTCTAGCGAATGCATTAAAGGTTTATCACAGAGTTTACAATCTGAGTATTCTGGTAGTGGCTCAGCCTCACTAACCTGCCAGATGTGTCTATAGCCAAGGCGAATTCGCGCAATGACTACATCACATTGCCTGGTCCGGTTACTGTGCTGACCATACAAATACCTATTATTACAAAACTTGTCATAACTTTTAATACTGCAGCTTTCAGGTCTCTGGGCATTTCTTAGTTCTTCTAAATCTGAATTAATTTCTTTAATTTGTATGTTTCTAATAACTGCATTAGATAGTCCAAAGTCATAATCAATGTTTTCTTTCCTGCAAGCCTCATTGACCAATCGATCTTCAAAGTCATGTTTTCCAACTCCAACATGGGATGGGATCCACACAAATTTTATACAAGAGTTATTATCATTGACAAAAATTACACTCCATTTAATATTACAAGCTACTTCCGACATACATTGTGATGGGTTATTTAAGGACTGCAGAGCACTTTTAGAGTCACAGAAAATAACTCCACCACCATTGAGCTTAAGGTATTCAGTGGCTAGATAAATACCCAATAGCTCGGTCTGTGTCGTGCTTGCCCAGTTGTTCAATCTCTGTGTACTAGACATGATCATTTCATTCCCTTTATATACTTCACAGGCACAACCTGTTCTACCAGTGCCTAACTGCACAGAGCCATCAGTAAAGGCATAGCATTCAGTCGGTTAGAGAATTTGAAGATTACTGTCAATAGCTTCTAATGTAATACAACTCAAAATGTCAGTGTTATACGTTTTACACTGATGGGGGTATAGTGCAGAGAGACCTCCACATCTTTCCAAGGGGGAATATAGTGAACAGTTTTATCAGGGTTAAGAGACATTCGGTTTCTGAAGATTATAGGCACAACAACTGAGCCACACACTGTAGGGAGCTTTTTGCGGCGGATTTAGGGAACAGTCAGAATTGTTTAGAATGGATCTCAATTTAATTTGAATAGAGCTGAGGGGACCATTATTTTTCAAAGTTTTGGCGCAAAACATAGTACCAAGTAGAACTATTCTTTCGTAAATGGAAGGTAAGTTTAGTTCCTTTCTCTTGTTAACAATTCTGACAGTTGTAGGACAACCCAGGATGATGCGCAATGTTAAAGACCCTTTTGTGCCCTCTGTAATGCTTTTGCGCTACCACTCACAGGATGAGTATGGGGTGCACAATAAACTAGCCGCCTTCGGTGGCAACAATCAAATCATTCATTCTGTACTACATCTAGGCCTTGTAATTGTTTAGGAGAAAAATTAAGATGATGCAAGGCATAATAATCAACAACAGATCGTATAAAGGCAATATAAAAACTACGAGCATATTTTATGTTAATGCTAAATTCTTTGCCAACAAGAGTTTTGAGAGGTTTAAGACGCTCAACTAGTTTTTTACGCAGGTTGCTGACGAGATTTGTATCATTAACCTCGACTCCAAGATATTATAAGACTCACAAGTCTCCACGGGCACTCCATTAATAGTATAGTTAACATGAAGAGAATGGGGAATAAGAACCCTTGTTTTATCAACAGAGATTGAGGCCACATTCTACTACTTTCTTGGAGACTGCATCAAGTAACACTTGTAGCCTTGGTTTACTGTGTGCCATAATACAAATATCAGCATAACATATAACAGTTTCCATAGGTTGTACAGGTAACAAAC